TGGACAAGACGATATTCGGTAGGCGGTCGTTGGAGAACGTTGGAGGCGGATCGACGATTTGCGATTGGACGGCAAACAACATCCTCGGCAAGAGGACCATGCGAACAGCGATAGTATTTTGCATGAAAGATGCATCAAGCGACGATATATGATGCACATGAAATGCTTTTGTGTGGCTTTGTCTATTACCATTAATAACACTTCATTGTTTTTCTCAATCAACAGATGTCAGTCACTCACCTATAGGAAATCCTCAAAATCTTACCTTAACTAAACATATTCGAGCGATCTTGTCGAATCCTCAAAATCCCACACCTTCTTAAGTCGTTGATTAATCCGCTCTCACAAAAGCACCCCACTGATCTGTTTTCACACCTCTATTACCGTTTTTCGTTTGTTCATCACCATGAGGCCACTAGTGTTGAATGGTTCAATTTGTATGATACCTTACGTATTGTTTATTTGTACATAACAGTTCAATAGAGTTCAATAGAGCTGTTCATGGAAATGTTCTCGAGGTGTGTTTTCTCATGAAAATCTCAAAAGACGAAAGTACGATCAGAATCAAGCCAATGGCAGCGAGTGTGGAGCCAGAGTTGAAAAATATCGCTTGTGTTCACATTAAATCGCACTCACTTTGTTCAAAATCGCATCTTTGCAGATGATTTGTTCGGAGTTAATTGGGAGGATGGTTATTCCTCAATTTTAGAGGATCTCCCCTCATCGCGCACGTCTTTTCGATTCAACTTCCTTTTTCAATGCTTTCATCAACAATTCCTAGGAAATGCAACATTTCTGCAACTGCAACATCAGCAATTTTTATGAATGAATGTTTTTTTTTCGATTTCAAGATTTTTTTCATGGGATTACAATTGTGCACTCTTATTGACAACGCACTAAGCATCTTAACTATCCCGGCGATCGTCAGTGTTTTTATCTCACTGAAGAAGTCACTCTCCATAACCATTCCATCGCTAATATCGCACGTTTTACACGCAATTTCAATTCATATTCACTCTTTTTCTCATGCGATAATCAATATGAATTCATATTTTGATCTTATCTAATGTTTCAAGTGATTCAACAAATTCAACAAACCCTTGCAACCACATTTATTTATCATATGAAAACGCTTATTTCCAATGTGATAATCGGATACTCCACGGTTATTTTCTCTTGACCGTGCTTGTTTGCTTGAATGACCGACCTTTTTAAAGAATAGTCTACTGAAAGCACGAAGTTACTGAGAGTGTTCATTGCACAAACGTTACGTACAGTCATCGTGTTGCGTAATCGGCATTGTTCACAGTTTCAGATTGATTGTTGCGACGTGATGAAACGATTCGACGCTTTTAGGCGTTCACTCGTCCGAAACTTTTTCATCGTTTCCCAGCCGAAATATATCATTTTTATTCAGTGCCCTGCAAGTTCCAACTGAATGAAGGCATCAAATGACCAACCAAATGACTAGATAGCATTGCATTGTTCATGCCAAAATTACGCATCGACTGTGTTTGATATTTGTGTTTAGACTTCGTCGTCACCACCATTCCCACGCTCCTCGTTTTGCATCAATTAGACTTTATCAGTTTATCAGTTCCATTCCATTTTTTATACTGATAATTGCACATCGAATCTCTATTGTAGTGAATCAATTCTTCGCTTTTCTTATGATTCCCGTCGTTCGCTCATTCAATCGTTCGTTCAAAGTCTTCAATTCAATTCAAACTCATCCACTTTTCAGGAGCTGTTGACGTGTGCGTGTGTGAAGAGAAAAATGCATGAAATCGGAACATCAGGCATAATTTCCAACTAACATCTTCAATTGTGTACATTATAATCACAACAAATAATAATCATCTTTTATTTGTGTTTCTATTGTTTTTTGGTGTGTGCTCTGTTTGGAACGAGTGTGAAATACCGACAGATTTATTCACATCCTATTATAACTACGATCATTTGCTCATTCGCTTCTAGAATTATTTATATTCACCTATAAAGAAAAATAATTTATTCTGCAACGAAACGCATTCACTCATCAACTAGTCGTCATTGTTGACACGCGATGGAGAAGACTTCTGATTTCTCATCATCGCTATTTTTCATCATGTTCAGTTTCTCGATTTTCTCATTGGTTAGCCATTCTTCTTTTACACTTCAACTCCGAGATATTCTATTTATCAAATACTTCTCCCGTTTTTTATATCTTGCTTTTATATTTACAGTTGTTATTTGGAAAGCAGAAAGTGCTTTTTTAAAATATGTCAAATATGAATTTTTTTTTGAAATTATTTTTCTGAAACATGCATTAGCGATACGATATAGCGTTTGGTTCATGTTTGAAGCACTCTGAAATGCAGATAATCTGTTTCTTGACGAATTCTTTCCATATTCCCAACCATCATCTTCCAGCCACTGTGATGTAGCGCTAAACTTGAATGGTTTCAGAGCACGAGTTCAGGCTCGTTCGAGCTGAAACTATTGTCGTTGTCGTACGATAGCAGTAGTAACGATGAATTTCGACCTGAAGTAAGACTGTGCTTAAAGCACTTTGAACGACACATTAATCACAAAGGTGCGTGCACGTTCGGCGAGATGACGATTGATGCAAATAAACTACGAAACGGCACACAAATTCATTTCGAGTTCACATGGCCTGTAAGTTGTTTTTGTTTATTCATATTCACATTCCCATGAAATCATTTATGACAATGATATGATGATGATGATAGATGCGAAGAGGAGAAGCATGTGAAAACAGTTCTAAATGAATGAGCACTATTTGATTAACGAAAGCTCATGTGAATCCTTAACACCACTGATATGATGCAAACAATTCAGGGGACCCTCTCACTCAGATTTTGGTACTTTAGAAGTTTCGTATGTACACAAATGTATGCTATTGTACAAGGTCCGTTCAATTATTACTATTACACGAATGAAGTGTACAGTCAGCGAATCTCATAATCAGCACTGAAAAAAAGTTTTTATGGAATTCACGAATTGCCTATGTCTGTGGTGCTGTGTACTCAAATCACAGTTAGCAATCGCTTCTCACGGAGGTT